CACCTATGTATCCAGGTCCTCTTCCTTCTTCTTGTCGCCAAAGAAGGGATAAAGACTCAACAAGGGTATCTCAGAGTTCTACTGCATGGGTTGTATAACACCTTGTGCCTGCTGCATTGGTTGCGAAACCAATGAACTAGTCTGTTGCTGCAACACTTGCTGCTACAGGGATAACTGTTGCATAGGCTGATGTACATGTGGTGGTCCTGTAGCGGCGGCCGCTGACTGTGGAAGCGAAGAAGGTATAAGAATCTGCCCAGTACTTCTTACTAGTAGACCGCCTGATATGGGAATGTCAAACTGGGAATAAAGGGTTGCCCTACCGGCTGCGGCGTCACAGTGGGACATGCAACAGTATGGGGAGCTAAAGCATACTGTGGCTGCCTAACCTGAGGTCGTTGCCCCGTAGTACTGCCAGAATCTAATTTTGACCAGCTATTAGTGCAACCAACATCTCTTACTGCACAACTTGTACTTCGGCAATACGTAAAGGGATTTTCGAAGGGACCGCTGTCGGGATTGGTGGGTCCCGAATAACATCCCGCCACTCGAGAGACTGTATATAGTCAGGTTATGCAGGACAAAGAAATCTGGAATAAGGAGGTAAGAGAGAGAAAAGACAAGGGACTAGGCCATCGGAATGAATGATGCCCTGGGTCGGGAACCGTCAGGGAAAGAACCGGCGACGGCAACCAAGTAAGCACAAGGACATGGGCACAAAGGGGCATAGCATGAGGCCAAGAGGGCCACTGGAATTCGGCATGACTAAGGCCAAGGGGTCGTCAACTTGTAAAATGCGGCGCGGCGGACGACGAGAGAATAGGGCGACCGAAAGGTGGATGGCCCGGTGGCCGTGAGACGCTAGAAATTAAGGGTCCAACGTGGGGGCCGCCCTCGATAGTTAGCAAGGACCTCGGAATGGAGACCCCGCAGTCGGAGACAACTAGTGCACGCAAGGCCCAAAAAAAAGCAAGAGAGAGGGACCACCATAGGGCGGTAGACGCTCAAAGAATGTGGAACACCTTGAGGAACGGCACCAAGGACCACGCGGGACTAAGTAAAAATAATGGTATCCGGAATAAAATATGGCGGGAACCGTCGGCGGGACCAAGTGTCGGGAACCACCGGTGGGACTAAGTGTCGGGGACCACCAGCGGGACTAAGTGTCGGGGACCACCGGCGGGACTAAGTGTCGGGGACCACCGGCGGGACTAAGTGTTGGGGACCGCCGGCGGGACTAAGTGTCGGGGACCACCGGCGGGACTAAGTGTCGGGGACCACCGGCGGGACTAAGTGTCGGGGACCACCGGCGGGACTAAGTGTTGGGGACCGCCGGCGGGACTAAGTGTTGGGGACCACCGACGGGACGAGTGGCGGGGACATATGAAGGTCTCAAGAGGAAACGGCGGCACCGCATGAGGAAAAAATAATTAAGACAAGGTGCACTGTCAAGATTGAGATCTTGACGACCAAAAATATTAACATCGCTAGTGCAACCTCCCTCAAGAAAATGGAGTCAAAAGAGACCCCATGAGAAAAATAGGCCTCCGGGAGAAAATCGGAGTAGGAGGGGCCACTATGGGAGAAATTGGAGAATAATAAAGGTAAAGGGAAGCTCCCATGGGCATGAGAAGGCCACTATTGCAGTCCGAGATACAACGGACTACGCCTTCGGCATAGGAAGGGCCAAAACTAAGAGGAAGGGCCTAGAAAAGGACCTTAACGGCCACTTGACACTTGGCATGCTAGAAAAAACAAACAAAAGAAAAGAAAAATGTGAGAGAATAAGACAAAAAGAGTGAGAGGGAGGGAGTGAGTTGGCCGTTAGTAGGGACTGCCACAAGTAGGGACTGGCAGGTCCCTACTGTCCAAGAAAAGAGGAAAAGAAAAGAAAAGAAAACAAAAGAAAAGAAAAGAAAAGAAAAGAAAAGAAAAGAGAAAAAGACCTTAACGGTAAAAAACGATCACTTGGGGAGATACATCCGTCACCAGATTCATTATGGAATATGGAGGTTGCAAAGGAGCTTCATTTTCTTCTGATTTTGCAGAGAAAATCAAAGAAAAGCAAGCCCCTATGCAACCGAAATATAACGGACTACATGGGGGAGGAGAAACACATGTTTTAGGTGCATCCGGATCCAAAATTGAGCCCGGATGCACTTGGAAGTTGGACGTTTTTTTCTTTTCTTAATAAAAGGCTAGTTATGGGACATTGGGCTAGGGAATTGACCCCTATTGCAGTCCGAGTTGCAACGGACTGCATGGGGAAGGGAAAACACATGTTTTAAGTGCATCCGGGGCCAATATTGAACCTGGATGCACTTGGGAATCAAACGCTTCGTTTTTTTTATAGTATGGGGCAAATTGTGAGGCTGTGGGACTAGGAAAATGACCATGATTGCGGTCCGAGAAATAATGGACAACATGAGGATGCATGGGCTAAGGGAAAATGTGTCGCGGCAAGTCCAAAAGGCTAGAAAGAAGCGACTTCGACATGGGGCAAGTAGAGGCGGTAAACGACAACCGTGAGATGAGATCTCACGGCCAAGAAAAATCAGCACATGTATGGCACCCTAGGAAGAGATATTGGAACCACCAAGGGCAAGGAGGTCCCTAAATAAAAATGGGACACCATCCGGGATGTTGCCGGGGACCAAGTGGGCCCAAATAATAATAGTCGAAAAATGGACACGCGTCGGCGGGACTACCGGCGGGACAAGAAAACGAAACTAGTAAGGAGGAAAGTGACGGGGACTTGAGATGTCCCAAGGGAACCATGAGCCAACACAATAAATAATTGCGCAAGCAAACGACACTATTAAGATCGAGGATCTAGACGGTGGAAAATATTAGCACCACTAGTGCAAGCACTAGTGAGGACAAGTGAGAGAGTCATGAGAGAAAAGAGAGTGAAGTAATGGTGTTCGGAGGGCTGTCCAACAGTCCGAGATATCTCGGATTAGCTAGGCAGGAGAAAATAGAGCCTCAAGAGGCTCAACGTGAGAAAAAGGTTGTCCAAAAAAAATCAGAATAAAGGGGGATCAAAATTGGGACTAACGGAGGCAAAATGGAGCCCCCTAGGAACATGGGGGTGCCATTATTGTAATCCGAGAAACAACGGTCAAGTGCCAGCCATGAATCTGCCCATGAATGAGGTCCCAAGGCCTAGAAAGAGGGTGCACAGTTGTCTGACACTTGTCACAACTAAAATAAAAGAAAAAGAAAAGAAAATGAGAGAAAACGGAGGGAGAATGAAACAAAAAGGGAGTAAAAAGTGGAGGAGAATGTGTCGGCCCATTAGGACCTGCACAGTAGGGACTGGCATGTCCCAACGGTGACCTCATCCCTCCTAGAATGAGGGGGGGCAAGGTCCATATCTCTATAAAATCTGAATTAAAAAGAGGAAAATAAGAGAAAATGCAAAGGGGAGATGACCGTTTTTTTTGTGGACCATGGATCTGAGATCAGATCTCGTGGTGGAGAGGAACTAGCCGTTTTTTATGGGCCAGACCAAAACGGCTAGCTCCGGAATGAGGTAGCAGCCCAAAATGGAAAGAAACAAAAGGAGGAAAGGGACAAAAATGTGCATTTGGCCAAAAAAGAGAGCCAGATACACCAAAAGTTGAAAATTTGAACTTAGGAGCCCAAATTTGAAGCAAGGGCTACTTGGAGGTAGCTCGAAATACTGCTGGCCTTGGATCTCAGCCAGATCCAAGGATGGAACTGCACCGAGGCATGGGAAAATACCTCGGCCTACCAAAAATGGGGTAGAAACTGAAAAAATCGAGAAAAAGGCCCACTAGGCCTTTTTCTCCTAAGTGAGGCTACCCCTTGGGCATTGGGACCCAAGGGGGCAGCATTTTGGAAATGGAAAGGCGGTTGAAGGAGGCCAAGAGGCAATCCGAGTTGGTACTAACCACTCGGACTGCATGTACTTGGCCAAAAAGAGGCCCGGGTACCTCCGGAAGGGCCTAGTAGTGAAATTTTGCCTTGGGGGTGCCTCAGTTCACCTCAAGGCACATGGGGAGGCCCATGGGCTGGCTGGAGTGCTGGTTTCAGCCTACATAAGCTGAGGATTCAGTCCGCCACACTCACATTTGCATGACGAGTGCCCATGCTGCCCAAGTGAGCTCATAGGAACACTTTCTCACTTGAAGAGAGGAGAGGGGAACCCCAACCAGTTGGATAGCTTATTGGAGACTGTGAGCAAGGAGAGAGAGCTCTAGAGGAGAGTGGAGGTGAGGCTGGCCTAGGGAGATGATCCGCCATAGCCCCCAGGGTGTGAGGAAGAAAGAGAGGCTAGAGAGAGTCCCATTAGCCCTCCTAGAGGAGAGGACTCCATAGCCATAGTGGGAGAAGCTTGTCATAGCTTGAGTATAGTTGAGAGAGGAAGGAGAGAGGAGCTTGAGGAAGAAGGAAGCCATAGCCAAAAAGGTATTTGTGTAAGGAGGAAGAAGCTTCATGAAGGTTGAGGCTCCATCTCCAAGACATCAAGAAGGTGAGTGGAAAGAAGGAGATTCCTCTCCCTCTCGTTCTTCTTCTTCTTCTTCTTCTTCTTCTTCTTCTTCTTCACTTTTTTTCTTCTTCTTCTCCATCTTCATCTTTTTTTTTGTTCTTTTTTTTCTTTGTCTTTTTAAAGGCCTGATCGGCCCTCATTGCTCAAAAGGAAGGGAGGTGTGATCGGTGGACCGCAAGGCGAGGGTGTGTGGAAAGCCCCTTGAGGAAGATCGAAGCGCAACCGATCGAAACGCGTCGGGGAATGTGCGCGTTAGCTGATATGAGTATGCGCGGAGTTGTAACGAAGAGAAGGCAGTTGGCCACTGTTTACTACTATTCTGTGTAGCATAGTAACCGGATGAGGGGAGACACTCACACTGGTGGTTGTATCAACGAAACGTGTATCTGAAGATCTAGTGGAACGTACAACGAAGACTGTAGCAGGTAGCTACTAACATTAGCCGTCATCTGCGATCGTGAAGGAAGGGCGAACACCGATAACTGTGAGAGGATTAGTGAGGAAAGGACAAGAGCATGGCTAGCAGTATGGCGTCCGTGGGGAATGGAGTAACTGGAGCAGGGAGTTCGACCATCTGCTTCAACTGCAACCAAGCGGGGCATATAGCAAGAGATTGCCCGTTGAAAGGACAAGGTGCGTTTGCGAGCAACACAAAGTACTGGCAATCAAGGAAAGAGAACGAGGACAGCATAAACCGTGTTGTCAGGTGGGATGACTACAAGATGCAGAAAGAAATGGAGAAAGAGGAAAATAAGAAGATGGAGGAAAAAAGGAGAAAAGCAGAAGCCGAACGAAGAAGGCAACAATTAGACGAAGAAAGGAGCGAAGAGAAGTTCCGGAGGATGATTGCGGATTCCGAACGACGAATGGTGGAAGAATGCGACAGAAGAGATAGAAAGTTGGAAGAAGCGGAGGCACGTATGGTAGCGGTAATGGCAAGGGACTTGCGGAGCTTCAGAGCGAAGATAAAGACTGAGATCCAGATGACGCTAGCAGTTAACTCCAAGACGCCAAAACGAGATTGGGATGGACTAACAGGTGGTTTGGATACGTACCTGATGGAGGAGGAAGTGCTGACAGACGATGGTTTGAAGCTACCGCCAAAGCGAGCGAGAGGGAAGCGGATTGCGAAGAACTTCGGATCCTTAGACGAGTGGGAAGAAGAGGCAAGGGTCATGTCAAGAGCGGATTACGAAAAGAGTCTGAGAAGGAAGACATGTACGCCAGCAAGGACCTCAGTTGTTGGAAAGGAGACCCCGACATCTAGCAGCAAGGGGAACATTGTGCAAAGAGCTCTAGAGACTAGAGCGAAGCTCATGGCGAGAGAGTGGCGGGAAATCAAGAAACTATGTGAGGCGAGAGACATTACTTACGTATCAAAGGAGCAAGGGGTTCGTGAATTGCTGAATAGAGCAGCGTGGAGCGACGAGGACGAGCTCTTCAACAAAACATGGAAGCAAGAAGATATCCAGGACCAATAACGGTTTGTGCCCTCGGTTAAGCTCATCTGGGCTTACATTGTCATCCTTCTATCTCTGAGAGGGACAATCTGGGGGCACACAGGATTTTCCAAGCTTAGACTGTTGACAGAGAAGGCCACTACCGCTTGCATGGTGTTACTAATACAACTAGGTCAGGTTCAGTGGGCTAGGAAGATCGTAGACTCAGCGCCTCTGAACTAGAAATGGTTTGATTTTAAGCACCCTGTAGTATATTGCCTCGTCTTGCCATGGTGCAGAAAGACTTACATTGGTAGGTCCATTAGAGGGGCTACAAAATGGTGGTGGGAGCATATCAGATGTGTCGAAACTGGTACAGAAGGTAGGGCTCCTTTGCTTTACAAATGACTGAAGAAGTATAGTTGGAATAAGTACGTGGTTATTCCTATTGCTTCATCAGAGGTCAGCGGGCTGGAGAGCCTAGAGAAGACGCTCATCAAGCGATTCTCTCCATCGCTCAACACAATAGGAATGAGGCAGAAAGGGAATGCGAAGAAGAGACTGGGAAGGAGGGAAAGGCGCTCTCGAATGGTTGGGAGCAGAGAAAAGGAAGTAGACAATCGGACACGTATCATTGTTTTTCGGACGGATAATAGTATGCTGGCTAATACTAGTCTGAGAATGATCCTAGACTCGGCTTATAAGGCTGGGAAGAAGCAGATCCAGATCAGTAGTGAGGCAGGGCAAATCTGGGGCGAGGACTGGTCGTTAGTTAAAAAGTTGTTCGGTACCTCGACTGTTGTGACACAGGTAGGTAAGTTTGCACTATCCCAAGCTAAAGCCTGTTGTGAAGAAGGAGGTAATTTTTGGATTACCCCTATCGTCATTACACAGAACTCAAGGGATAGAGGAAAAGGTTACCTGCGGCAGCTCTTGGAAATGTCGTTTAAACGGAAGGAACTGTCGCACATGACGGTCGATAAACTTATGCATCTCTATAGCTGTGCGGGTACCTTTAGGGAAAAGGATAAGAGGAGACAGATCAAGGATTTTCTGGGTAGGGCAATAGGAAAGAAAGCCAGTGTAAATATTCGGAGGAGGATCACAGTACGGGTCAGGTATGGTTGCAGAGTGAAGAAGAGAGGCATCAGGGAAGTTCTCATCTCGAATATCGAGAGCTGTGACTTGCATCCTGCGATTGCAGGGATGTTCAAACGGAAGGTGAGGGTTATCTGGAGAAGAAACAGAAATGTGGCGGAGATCTTGTGTAACTACAAGCAGCTGAGTAAGAAACCAGAGCTTCCATGTGCTTGCAAGCAATATGGCTTACCTATCGTTAGTGGCCACGTGCTTACGAGAGTGTCCGGAGTCCCAGGGCTCCCGACTCTGGTTTGGACGTGATTCGTCCCAGACTGGAGACGACAAAAGAGGAAGTCGGCAGCAGCATAAGACTTGCACTCACGACCGTGCTCGGGAGTCAATTTAGCGGACACTTGCCTGACCTCCAGATCAACGATTGCTTCTCATCAGAAGGAAATGAGCGCGTCAGCTTGGACGAGGGCATGATTTACGCCATCAAGAAGCAGTACAAGGACCTCCTGGTTACGCAAGTTGACAGAAATGCTGGCGACCTGGTGATGATGTGTCCATCCACGTACCAGTACGGCTTGGACAAAATGTTTACCTGGAATACGACATATGACGAAGTGAGCAGCGGCGAAACGGAAATACTGAAAGAGATGAAGCGAGATTTTGAAGCCCTTGGACTGCACAAATTGGTGAACTGGAATTCAAAGGGGAAGATTGACAGTGCTTACGTGCTACCCAAACACAAGGATCTTGAGCGATGGCGGCCTATAGCTCCTGCCTGCAGCGAACCCACTATGACTGGTAGTCGATGGATAGCACGTGCACTCAACTACCTACTGGAGAAGCTTCCCGGAGCAATACACTTCAACCTCACTGCTACACCCTCGCTCAAGCAGAATTTGAAGAAAGCCGAGAAGAAGCTCCACATATTCGGAGAAGGAACAACGACGATATGCGGAGGATTCGACATTAAAGAAATGTTTACATCCCTTCCGCATGCAGCCGTCATGGAAGCTCTATCCTGGTTGCTAGGCGAATGGGAGAAGACGGGCTATCGTAAGATTGCGGTATGCAAAAGAAGGAAGCAGGTGTCACTAGGCGCGAAGCTGTATGGGAAAGGCTACATTAAGCTTGCTTTCGACTTTATCCGGAGCTTCGTACTCTTTGAACTGCAGCACACCTATACCAAGTGTAGAGGGAAGCTGCTCAAGCAGGTCATCGGAGTACCAATGGGGAAGAACAGTAGTCCCCCACTGGCATGCCTCCTCTGTGCAAAGTACGAAGAAGGTTTTCTGAAGTCGTTGGGAAGTGATCGTCAGCTCGTCCATGGAGTTAGGTTCATGGACGATGCAATTCTAGCAGTTGCATTTAACGGAAGGAAGAAGAGGACAGTCAGGAGGGCACTGGAGATAATGGAGAAGTTCGAGTGCTGTTATGGTGAAAACTTATCGATCGTCCGAACAGACGACGGATCTAACACCATCGATTTCGTCGGGGCAAGGATTACGAGCGTGCCAGAGAAAACCAAGTTCCTCATGAAACCGAAGACGAAGAATGAACTGAAGAGCCAGATGGGATTGTTGCAACAGAAGCTAGTCTACCGCTGTTTTCAGGATTTCGACTCCTACTCTGAGAAGCGTGCGAAGATTGGAGTGTTGATCGGCAGCCTCTGTCGTATCCAGCAGATGGCGAACAACGAGATTATGATAGTTTTGCCAGTCTTGGCAATGAAGAACGAGCTTTTGCACCGGGGTTACCCCCCGGCTTTCTTCCTCAAAGCCCTGGCACGTTTTGCTAAGGGCACCAGCGTTCTCAAGGAAGCCTGGATGAGGCTACTTGAGTACCTAGTACAGGTAGATAAGGAAACGCGTCGGGAACACCCACTGGAGAAATGCGAAATTTTGAATCTAGGCTGACTTACGGGTTATGCTAGACCGTAGTGCCCGATAGTGTCGGATTACCGGAGCGGCCAGAATAAAAGTGGTAATTAAACAGCGTAGTATTTATTTTTTTGGGGGCTTTCGTAGCCTGGAAATTAACGGATTTTCCCTTTTATTTGCATCTATTTCGCCTGTAATTTTGCCTAGGATTTACGTTACACCGCCCCGGTGCCAGTTTGGTACTACCCGTACGTATTTCGAAAACTTTTTAGAGCATCTGTAATTATTTCGCCTTTACCCTAGGAGTCACGTGGCAATGCCACGGTAGTCCCGATGCCAGGAGGGCAGCCCAGGTACGGTGCTACCGGCCTACCCGCACATTGGAAAGAGCGGGAAATATAGACCTCGGAGTTTTGAAATAGTACAGCCCACGTTGTGTCAGATTTTGAAATTACAGGTCGCGCGCGTACACACGTGTAACTGACTGGACCGAGGTACCACGTACCAAGTATGCAGGTAGGGATCCGCGACGCATGGATTAGACTAATGATAATTAGAACGGGGAGAAGAGTAGGCCAATGAGAGCACGTTGATAAGCTAAATGGAGATTGAAGGTGGTACTTGATCGTTAGAAAGGAACGTTAGTCACTACACGGTACCCCGACACGTGAACATGCAGGGAAAGCTAGCTTGCAGGCCCTGTCGTCGCGTCGACAATTCAGACACGTAACGGACCCTACAGCGTTCGGTGCAACGTATAAGTGGCAGTCTAGCCATACCAGTAGTAGCTCGTGGAAGTGCCCGTTAGGGGCGGAAGTACCGTGATGACGAAGCGTCCCACTTGGCTTTCAGTATATAGGAGGGCAAGGTCTGATCGGCCCTCATTGCTCAGAAGGAAGGGAGGTGTGATTGGTGGGCCGCAAGGCGAGGGTGTGTGGAAAGCCCCCTGAGGAAGATCGGAGCGCAACCAATCGAAATGTGTCGGGGAATGTGCGCGTTAGCTGAGATGAGTATGCGCGGAGTTGTAACGAAGAGCTTTTGATGCGTGTACGAAAGGCAGTTGGCCACTGTTTACCACTATTCTTTTTCTTTTTCTTCTTTTTCTTCTTTTTTTTCTTCTTCTTCTTCTTTTTCACTCTTCTTCTTCTTCTTCTCCGTCTTCATCTTCTTCTTTTTCTTCTTCTTCTTCATCGTCATCATCATCTTCTTCTTCTTCTTCTTCTTCTTCTTCTTCTTCTTCTTCTCCTCTTATCCTTCTTCTCCTTCTTCTTCTTCCCTTTCCCTTCTTCTTTTTCTTCTGTTTCTTCTTCTTCTTCTTCATCTCTTCTTCTTCCTCTTCCTTTTCTTCTTCTTCTTCTCCTCCTCCTTCCTAAAGGTTAGTCTAACTCTTGCTCTTTACTCACATAATAGAAGGTGAGGTCCCGACTCTTCCATGGATGATCTCATGCTCAAATCTTGTGTTTTGATCTTGTTTAACTCTTGCTTTTCACTCACATAGTAGTAGGTGAAGTCCCGATTTTTCCATGGATGATCTCATACTCAAATCTTGTGTTTTGGTCTTGTCTAGTTCTTGCTTTTCACTCACGTAGTAGTAGGTGAAGTCCCGATTCTTTCTTGGATGATCTCCTGCTCGAATCTTGTGTTTTGATCTTGTCTAGCTCTTGTTTTTCACTCACATAGTAGTAGGTGAAGTCTCGATTCTTCCATGGATGATCTCATGCTCCAATCTTGTGATTTGGTCGAGTCTAACTCTTGTTTTTCACTCACATAGTAGTAGGTGAAGTCTCGATCACAAGTGGTTAACAGGGACCCCCACTTTTCGGCCCTAGGTAACGATGAATGATCCTGAATAATCCTTAATTTCGGTTTTTTTTGTGTTTTTTTGGATTTTTTTTTTTTGCCTATTTTTTTATTTTGACAAGCTTTCTGTGTGTCAAATTTGATGTCATTTGGAGCATTAGAATTTGTGTTGTGAAGAGTGGTAAAATTTATGAAAATTTGATGACAGTTTTTTTGCCAAAATTTCATGAAAATGCACTTTTGGCTTGCTGTTTTATATGTTTTTTTTTTTTTTTTTTCCGTTTTGTTTTTATAATATGTTAGTAAGAAGTGCACTCTATACATGGGTATGAAGTTTGCTTAAAATTGCCTTACAGTTTTCTTATAAATTGAGGTGAAAAATGGGGGGTCGGTTAAACTCTTCTCTTCTTTCATGGATGATCTCTTGCTCAAATCTTGTGTTTTTATCGTGTCCAGCTCTTGCTTTCACTCACATAGTAGTAGGTGAAGTCCCGATTCTTCCATGGATGATCTCATGCTACAATCTTGTGTTTTGATCTTGCCTAGCTCTTGCTTTTCACTCACATAGTAGTAGGTAAAGTCCCGATTCTTTCTTAAATGATCTCATGCTCAAATCTTGTGTTTTTATCATGTCTAGTTCTTGCTTTTCACTCACATAGTAGTAGGTGAAGTCCCGATTTTTCCATGGATGATCTTGTACTAAATTTTTGTGTTCTGGCCTTGTATAGCTCTTGCTTTTCACTCACATAGTAGTAGGTGAAGTCCCGATTCTTTCTTGGATGGTCTCTTGCTCGACTCTTGTGTTTTGATCTTGTTTAGCTCTTGCTTTTCACTCACATAGTAGTAGGTGAAGTCCCGATTCTTCCATGAATGATCTCATGCACCAATCTTGTGATTTGGTCTAGTCTAACTCTTGCTTTTCACATAGTAGGTGAAGTCTCTATTCTTTCTTGGATGATCTCTTGCTCAAATCTTGTGTTTTGATCTTGTCCAGCTCTTGCTTTCACTCACATCGCAGTACGTGAAGTCCCGATTCTTCCATGGATGATCTCATGCTCCCATCTTGTGTTTTGATCTTGTCTAGCTCTTGCTTTTCACTCACATAGTAGTACGTGAAGTTTCGATTCTTTGTTGGGTGACCTCATGCTCAAATCTTGTGTTTTGATTTTGTCTAGCTCTTGGTTTTCACTCACATAGTAGTTGGTGAAGTCCCGATTCTTCCTTGGTTGTTCTAATGCTTTAAACTTGTGCTTTGATCTAGTCTTGCTCAAGCTTTCACTCGTGTAGTAGTTGATGACATTCTGTTTCATGTTTGGTTGAATTCATGAGCATGTGTTTGAGCAAGTCTCACTCACATGCATGGCTCAACTCTCACATGATGACATTCCATTTCATGTTTGGTTGAATTCATGAGCATAAGCATGTGTTTGAGCAAGTCTCACTCACATGCATGACTCATCTCTCACATGATGACATGTCGTTTCATGCGTGGTTGTATCCATAAGCCACAAGCATATGTTTGAGCAAGTCCCAGTCACATGCATGACTCAACTCTCACATGATGACATTCTGTTTCATGCTTGGTTGTATCCATGAGCCACAAACATGTGTTTGAGGAAGTCTCACTCATATGCATGACTCAACTCTCACATAATGACATTTCGTTTCATTCTTCGTTGTATCCATGAGCCACAAGCATGTGTTTGAGCAAGTTTCACTCACATGCGTGGCTCAACTCTCACATGATGACGTTCCGATTCGAAATTGGTTGCACTTGCATCCATGTGCATGTGCATTCACTAGTCCAATCTTCATTTTGTCGAGTTCACGTGTGTTGTAGTGTTCCGATTCTTACTTGGTTGCTCTTTCCTCCATGTGCAATGTGCATTCGTTAGCTCAACCTTCACTTTGTCAAGTTCATAAGTCTTATAGTGTTCCGATTCATACTTGGTTGCTCTTGCTCTTTCATCCATGTGCATATGCATTCACTAGTTCAATCTTCACTTTGTCAAGTTCATGTGTGTTTTAGGGTTCCGATTCATACTTGGTTGCTCTTTCATCCATATGCATGTGCATTCACTAGTTCAATCTTCACTTTGTCAAGTTCGTGTGTGTTGTAGTGTTCCGATTCATACTTGGTTGCTGTTTCGTCCATGTGCATGTGCATTCACTAGTTCAATCTTCACATTGTCAAGTTGATGTGTGTTGTAGTGCTCCGATTTATACTTGGTTGCTCTTTCGTCCATGTGCGTGTACATTCACTTGTTCAATCTTCACATTATCAAGTTCATGTATGTTATAGTGTTCCAATTCATACTTGGTCTCTCTTTCCTCCATGTGCATGTGCATTCAATAGTCAAATCCTCACATTGTCAAGTTCATGTGTGTTGTAGTGTTCCGATTCACACTTGGTTGATCTTTCATTCATGTGCATGTGCATTCGTTAGTTTAATCTTCACATTGTCAAGTTCATGTGTGTTGTACTGCTCCGATTTATACTTGGTTGCTCTTTCCTCCATGAGCATGTGCCTTTCGTTAGTTCAACGTTCACTTTATCAAGTCCATGTGTATGGTAGGGTTCTATTTCAACACTTGGTTGCTCTCTCACTTATGTGCATGTGCTTTGGTTAGTTCAACCTTCACTTTGTCAAGTTCAAGTGTGTTGTAGTATTCCGATTCATACTTGGTTGCTCTTTCCTCTATATGCATGTGCTTTCGTTAGTTCAACCTTCACTTTGTCAAGTCCATGTGTATGGTAGTGTTCTATTTCAATACTTGGTTGCTCTCTCACTTATGTGCGTGTGTTTTCGTTAGTTCAACCTTCACTTTGTCAAGTTCATGTGTGTTATAGTGTTCCGATTCATACTTGGTTGCACTTTCCTCCATGTGCATGTGCCTTCGTTAGTTCAACCTTCACTTTGTCAAGTTCATATGTATGGTAGTATTCCGTTTCAACACGTGGTTGCTCTTTCACTCACGTGCATGCGCTTTCGTCAGTTCAACCTTCACTTTGTCAAGTTAATGTGTATGGTGGTGTTCTGTTTCAACACTTGGTGGTTCTTTCACTTATGTGTATGTGCTTTCGTTAGTTCAACCTTTATTTTGTCAAGTTCATGTGTGTTGTAGTGTTCCGATTCATACCTGGTTGCTCTTTCGTTCATGTGCATGTGTCTTCGTTAGTTCAACCTTTACTTTGTCAAGAGTTCATATGTATGGTAGTGTTCCGTTTCAACACCTGGTTGCTCTTTCACTCATGTGCATGTGCTTTCGTTAGTTCAACCTTCACTTTGTCAAGTCCATGTGTATGGTGGTG